CAACTTCGTGTAGACAGTACCACTGACATATAAAACGTCTCTGTAGTATCATCAACAACTTCGTGTAGACAGTACCACTGACACAGAAAACGTCTCTGTAGTATCATCAACAACTTCGTGTAGACAGTACCACTGACACAGAAAACGTCTCTTTAGTATCATCAACAACTTCGTGTAGACAGTACCACTAACACAGAAAACGTCTCTGTAGTATCATCAACAACTTCGTGTAGACAGTACCACTGACACAGAAAACGTCTCTGTAGTATCATCAACAACTTCGTGTAGACAGTACCACTGACACAGAAAACATCTCTGTAGTATCATCAACAGCTTCGTGTAGACAGTACCACTGACACAGAAAATGTCTCTAGTATCATCAACAACTTCGTGTAGACAGTACCACTGACACAGAAAACGTCTCTGTAGTATCATCAACAACTTCGTGTAGACAGTACCACTGACACAGAAAACGTCTCTGTAGTATCATCAACAACTTCGTGTAGACAGTACCACTGACACAGAAAACATCTCTGTAGTATCATCAACAACTTCGTGTAGACAGTACCACTGACACAGAAAACGTCTCTGTAGTATCATCAACAACTTCGTGTAGACAGTACCACTGACACAGAAAACGTCTCTGTAGTATCATCAACAACTTCGTGTAGACAGTACCACTAACACAGAAAACGTCTCTGTAGTATCATTAACAACTTCGTGTAGACAGTACCACTGACACAGAAAACGTCTCTGTAGTATCATCAACAACTTCGTGTAGACAGTACCACTGACACAGAAAACGTCTCTGTAGTATCATCAACAACTTCGTGTAGACAGTACCACTGACACATAAAACGTCTCTGTAGTATCATCAACAACTTCGTGTAGACAGTACCACTGACACAGATGAATGACGGAAAATTGTGATGATCCAAATGACGAATCTGTGATACTTAACAACTGTAGTTTATTCTTGTAAACAGCTTATTCGTCACCAAAATGTAAGATAAGTAACGAAATTAACAATTCGTTCCTCATTAATGACCTGAAAGTACTATGAAAGGTTTCGTTAAACGTTGTTATGTGATAAAGATTAATAACTAACCAACGTTTTCGATATAAAAGTCCTCACAGGGTAGTTACCAACAGATATTTAAGTAATATATTGTATCCAAGTGTCGTATCATCATATAAATATTTGACTAATAATCTCAATTGATTTCTGCCTATAACGATAGGCCGATGTATTGATTGCTTATTTACCATGATATTTAGTCAAAACAGTCATCAATATTCGCCACACCTAATCTTTGGGTAACCTTTACTTATGGCTCCAGTTTCATCACAAACGCGGCGTCGTCTTTAAAAACTGTTCTGTCCAAATGACGTAGCAGCTTCCTTCTATTTATCAGAATGAAGACTCCTGTCTGGAATCATCAAACTTGATGAGACTACCAATTCCAAATATAGAAGTACTTAAACCACAGGTGTTTGCTTTTGTTAAAGACCTTTAATACGTTTCTGTTTTATACACTAGCTATGTCTATCGTATGACAAATGTCCTGTTAAAATCTTTCAATGTTCTACTGCTTTCGCATGCATGACACATCATATTGTTCCATCATATTCGTCGATTTGAGGCCAAAAAGGTTTACACCTATACTAAAATTATCAGTAATTCTATTTTAGCGATTTTCGCGCTGAAAGGAATATGGTAAAGTAATACTGCGGTGATCGTCTCTTCTGAATGTTGTTTATATCAAACAATTATAACTAACGCGTGAATTTCTCACTGTGCTAATTTTCCAAAAACTGAAATTTATTTGTGCTAAATGATTTATTATATAACAGTTTCTTTTGCTGAAACTTCAACTGCATAACGCATTCAGCTCATTTCTGTTCTCTGATAAGAATCATCTAGACGTTTACAATAGATATATATTCTATCAACATTCTCCTAGTAGTGGCAAACCCTGAATGTTTCCATATAGTGATTTCACAAAATTTCTCAACATATTAGTTATATTGTGTGACTTCCGGATTGCAGGTGGTAGACACGGTGGTGGACTTTTAACGCCCGAAGTTGGCCATGGTTTAATTCATTTGAATAGTAGCACTATTTAGAATAAACACATGTACTCGAAGTAATTTTTTAATTATCAAATATACGAAAATGACCAAATTTATTGATGTATTCGATTGATGTCTGTTTTCCTCGATTATGTTTTTGTGAATATGAATTGATACAGCACTGGTGCGGTAATATTTTTTAATATTATTCTCCTTGGGTCTCGTATTTATATGATTTAGACTGTCGAAGTCGGGGTAGGAGGTCTTGACCGCATAAAAAAACAACTTGGAAGAGAATTCCATCACCTGAAGTATGCTACATATTCATGTGCACTGTACTTCTGTTATGTAGTTCACGGAAAACAAACAAAACCAAAACCTCATATTAATTAATTATCTAATACTGTATCATGATTTGGGTATTTTCAAACGGAAGCTACAAATCATATGATACTTAAATGATAGAATATGTTCTCTGTAAATCGAGAGATCCTTTTGATGTTTGCTACCATTGATACACGTACACTGCACAAGGATTGTTTACATATCTTGATCTGTTCCCTTTTCAAAAATAACCTACTGTCCTAATTTGAATATGGCAATCCTTCCTGTGGTGGTGGAGTCTTGAGCCACGTGGATGACCTTAAGAGTTCGAAGATGTTGCCATCATTATAAGGCATGTTAATTTGATTTTAGTCTAAGTCAAACTTATCATTTTATATTCGGAATATATTATTTATACCCAAAATTTTATGAATCTTCGAAATATTGCCTGATGTTAATCTGACTGCTATACACATTTTCATATATACATGTACATCATGTATATTAAAACTAATCTGTTAACATATTAAGGCTTGTAAATATTTTTGCCTTTATTTATATTGAAAGTCGTGGATCAACCGTAGGTAAAAGAAAAGCGTCGTTATGACAGTACATCATATCATTGTAACATGGAAGTTTTCACTTTAATTTATATGTTTTGGATCTATCTAAAACTAAATTTGTACACTTGTGTTATTTTTGTACAATTTTTGCCGTCATTAACTTTGTTGCCGGTAGGTGTTCAGCAAACGACGGTATTCCATTAACTTTAAAATCACAAAGGACACGACCATATGTGCGTGTGGAAACATTGTTACATTTGACACGCCATAGTGTTTACGTGGGAAAATGACATGGACAGCCCGAATTGCGTGCATGTTTTACATACGCCCGTGTTCGTAGTAAAACAGCATGGACTGTCGATTTATTTAACATGACATTGTGTGACATAAATCATCACCCTGTCTATTTTGTCTTCAGGGGGGATCTGACGACTCCTCTGACCTTTAACCGAAGGTCGCGTGACCGTTTTCTGTCACCATGGGTATCAGTGTGCCCAGTCGGTGCGTGTCTGTCTCTGCCTCTTTTCTGATCCACGATGATAAGATGGCACCCAAACGTCCATAAACATAGTTTCATTTTTGATGGAGTCTACAGATTATAGTTTGTCTTGCGATCCGTGGTTGTATATCACCAGATTTCGACACGGCGTCAGACATATTTTGACAACTACACATATATATGCCATTTTATTTTTATCACACACAGGCAAATCATTAATGTTTTCTGACAACGAAATTCGATGTGTAGTTGAACACAAGAAATAAACTTATAAGGTTATGATTGTCTCTGGAAAAATAACACTAGCAGTATTTTGGCAATGTATGCACCCTTGTTAACCGCACAGAAGTCGGTAATGTTCTAACCTGCGCTTGATTGATGACTTTCCAGATAATTTCTTCTCACGTGAGATGTAACATCTATCATCAGTACTTTTATGTCATTTTGAGCTAAAGTACACATTCTATATATATTCTTTTAAATTATTGATAACGATGACAAAACGCTTTGCCTATTACGTGTTTAGTTAACCATAGACAAATATATCGTACTAGTGTGTGATATATTATTCCAGTCGTTTTTTTGCTTTTGTTTTACTTAAAATGGATGGGTTACTTTCGATAATCTGCGGGGTAAGCGGCATTGTTGTCAGTATTTCCTGATGTAATGACATAAAATTTGAATTTTATTCGAAACGCACGAACACTTTGCGTATTTTGCAGAAAACCTTAATTTAGTACACATGCTTCAAAGTTGTGAATCTGTCTGGCCAGATATGGGTCTAGTGTTGTTATATAGGACGGGACTACTATCTTACCCAAAGGTTCCCAGTTTTAATTTTTTTTCCTGTCGTGTTCATGTCGTTAGAATATTATCATTGTATGATCATAAGACGCCTATGTGAAATGACCTAAATATTTTATCAGTACCCATGTACTCATAATAAGCATCGAAATCACCTGCATGTTTTTTTGTCAACGGAAATCCCAGTATTATTACAAAACACATGTGATCTGAGACTGTTTGGCGCTCATATTTCCGGAGATTATTTAACATCTTACCCAGATCAGTTCCAAAAACGTAATGAAACTTAATCGTTCAGTCCCAAACGTGTAATAAAATATGAGAAGACAAAATGACGGATTAAGACATTCAAAGGAACTCAATGACTAGACGGTATTCTAGAAGCGTTTTGTTATCTATAAAACGTCATCAAGATGGCGGTTTTTGATCAATTAATATTCATCTATAACAGTTTACGTTATTCTGTTATAATGATATTGTTTTTAATGTGCAACTTAATATATACAACATTGGTATGTTTTAATGTATCACATGTTGTTTCAGTGTCAAGCTGATCGTGAGAATGAGATTTCTCTTAACATTTCAAAACGTTTCAATAGCAAGCTCTAGTGCGAGAAAAATACAAGAGAAAAATAAAGGAGAGAAAAAAAAAGAAAATACCACAAATGGAATAATACTTTCAGCACAAAATAGTTCTAAAATCAGATATTGAAAAGGAAATAAATTTTAATGGCACATTGAAATTTATCACGACAACAAACGGTATCGTCCACTACATACAAACAGGGAAGGGTTTTATTGGTTCTTTCAATCATTCACTTCGACCAATACTTATACTCATGTAGACAATTGTTCATCGAGATCGATAGGATAAACCTGTTGTTCTAGTTAAAGAAAAGATCATTTATACTGATAGAACGGAAGGGTTATTATACATGTGTTTTCAGTAAAGCTATTTGTCACATTCAACTCCTTGTCATCTTCAGTATCTTCGTCCTTGCCACGTTAGGATTTTTCTTAAATCCAGTAAATCAAGCTTACATCTGTTTTGCGATAAGACGAGCTTGAGTTTGTTTAAATGTCTGATTTGCCAAGATTACTCATGACATTTTTTCAATCACATCTTAAAATAATTCATTTCTACCAGAAAATAATTCCTCAGATAAATACACGATTCAAAATTTCTATATAAAAACACTGTTAGTTTCTGCCAAAGTGAGAAATGGGAAATGTTGAACAATACAAAATGTTTCATACGTCGCTTGATTGTACGGAAGACATATCTAAATCAACGCCGTGACTTTTTAGATAAGAATGAAATGATATCATCGAAACCTCTTCCTCCTCCAGCTGACTTAGCCCTGTAGACATGGTACTATCAGGAGACGGGGAGGTAGCGCTACTGCTGGGTCCGTAGGAGTTCAGACTAGGCGCCCCTAAAGGGATCTGGGTAAAGGCACTAGTAGGAACACGCTTCTCTGGTGGCAATCTGATGAAATCTGTCTTAATGTCTGGGGTGAGTCTACTGTCTCTGACACAGTCGACATGGGAAAAATAAACAGGAGAGGAATTGGAAACATCTAATGAATGCCGTTCTAGCAGTGGCTCATTAGCCTCGGTCCGTGATTGGTCACATTTCGGAGATGGCCGACGGTTGGGTGTAGTGTTCCGTCTTTGTGACATTGGAACAACTGTTTCTGGGTCACTGATCTTAATGAGGGCACTGTTGTCACTATGACGACGTCCGTAAAGGGAACTTTCGTCCGGTTTCAACTGGTATGCAGACCCTGAAGGTGCAGATACAGTTGCCGTTAAGAAAGGTCCATTTGTTAAACGTGGTTGCAATACTGGATCGATTGAGCCTCTAAGTGGTTTAGGGCTGGGATGAAGAAACGCATTAGCGCTACATTCAAAATGATGATCATGTTTGGAATGTGCATTGTCGTGTAGTGTACTATATGGGCTAGTACTTTTTACTCGAGGTGGCACGTCCTGTCTTTGATAATCCGACATGACGCTATGACCGTACGGTTCCAATGTGGCTACTAGGCTATTTCCGTAACATTTGTCTGGTGTTCCACTGTCATTAAGAAGAGGACTCTTGTCGCCGTGAATAGGGGATGTCTTGTACATCCCACGTCTTTCGTGTGCATTATTGGGTGGAAGAGACAGAAATATTTCATCACTGTTTATGGAACTGTCAGAACCACATCGATGAGCTCCTTCAGAATTTCTTCCAGTTGATGCTCGACTTCTGAGTGAACTTCCGGCCCTTTCGCTACGAGAGCGTGCTAGGTATTCTTCAAACATTACATTGTCAGTCTGACATTGTGAATCTTGTTTCTTGTTATTTCCGCTCGCAGCGACGCAAGACTTTCGCCTATCGCTGCCATGGCTGTGCGATTCCTCCTTGGAACTGATGGTGCTCAGCCTGTCATCCGCGTCCTCCGACGGAGAACGGTCCTTAGTGGTCCAAGGAAATTTCTGATTGGAGTTTGAATTAGAATTAGTGGCCTGCACATGCGTAGAATTCTGTCGATTTAGGCGGATGTTCGGCGGTAATGACATGCTTTGATGGCGGACGAGGCTATCCTTTTGTTTCTGACGGTTCTTTCCAAACAACGAACGGCGTCGATAGGCATTCTTACCCTCTATCACTTTCTTATCTCTGCAAAGACAAAAAAAAAGGAAATCCTGTGTAATAAGTATGCAAACATGTCTTTGATATAGCCGTAAAAGTCAAACTATCAAAACAACAATGACTGCATTAGAGACATGACAGAGGTTTTCATATTTACGTAAACTTAAATTTCACCATACAAGCATTTAGATTATTCTCAATTACATTTTGACATTTACCGTTCAGATGAAATTCTAGATTATTAGTACCATGACCATACCAGCTCTCATTATCATGCTTCTGGGAAAGAAAAAAGCAACTGAGACTGAAAATTATTATGACATGTTGTTATCACAAGGCTGTAGATAGTAACTACTGTTAATAAATAAATGTTGAAACAGACACTATTTTCGATGTTCTTCGATCCAATGCACCAGGGACTTATGATAACAGAAATATTTTACCATATATGGATATTTTTATTTCAGTCTCTTGGTGATATTGAAACCTACGCGTCTTCTGTTTTAATTTAGATGTACATCTTCTGTATATGCTTCGGTTCTGAAATATATAGCTGGGTATGAATCTACTGTCAATGTTTGCGCCGAAGGCCATACGTCATTGGCCGTTAGCCGTGTTGTTATGCAGTTTTTGCACAGTGGAAAACATTAGCGCTTCTAGTGTTTCTCACGGCCATGATCATACCGGTACGTGTCCGCGGGAAACGACATTTTTCTTTATCTTTTTCATCTTAATGGAAAACATGTCTATGTCTTTTTTTTTTATCTGTGTTTAGAATAATTAATTACGTCATACATGGGATGGATATGGATACAGACAGAATACATTAGAGTGTTCCTTGGAGTCTCACTCAAACTTATCACTAATTCGTCTGTTTTGTGTTATGCAACACTCCAGCGATTTTCCTACGTACACTAAAATTTTCATTTTTCTGAAGTGCTTTCGTCTCTTTTATTAAAAGAAACAAACAAAAATACAGAAATGGTCATATTTCGTAGCGAGCTGCTTTTGTTGTATTTAAACCAGTTTTCTGTCGATAGCCGTGCTATAGAGATGCTAAGATAAATTTATTTTAGTTTTGTCAAGCTATCACACGGTTATGAGGGTAATAGCACATTGTTTTATGTTAAGCCCTGACGCTCAGCTATTTTTCTCGAGATGAGGCTGAAGATATTTGAACGGGAAGCCATCGGGAAATATCTTCAGCCACAGGACTGTCTAGCATTTTATTATATTGATAATTTGTAATAGATTATTAAATTGGGGATGTGATATTTTCTGTTCTTCCTGAACATTTTTTTCTAAATTTTGCCTGTGACATAACTTCAGTTTTGAATTTGCATTCTGTTTCCTGCCGAGATGTTCGAGATTCTCAGCATTATGTAGTATAACGACTGATTTATCCATCTATTTTGAACGAGAGGAGACCTTCGGGTGCATACATCTATGTGATAGCACTCCTATCTCGAGTTATTTCCGTTTTATAAAAAGAGAGAGTTCACGGTCATATCACAACTTTCCTCATCACCTCGGAAACAACGGTAAACCGTCCTTAAATGCATACATACAGATATTGATAGGATGTTAGAAAATATAAAACAAAACAAATTCCTAAATGTTCTGTAGGAAACGTATGTTTTGCAATTAAGACGTGTTCAGTATTTTTTATCCTTTTAATGACAAAGCTTAAATCATAAAGGAACGAAAGGCAGCCCATTTCTGTCATCCAGTTGTTTTACAGTGCAATTCGCATTATAAGCGACATACAGGCACAATTTACGTCGTCTTGTCGAGATAATCATTATGAGATGTCAAGTCAAATTACCACTGATGTTAAACAAATCAAATGTGGTATGAAATAACGGAGAATCGCGTGTACGTATAAAGAGGATTATTCACGTAAAGAATATGAAATATTACATTTGTATTTGTAAACGTATGTGGCCTTCTTTTATATTAACAAATCAAAGAAGTAAGAAAAATGAACATCTCCTTGAATGAGGTTGGGTGGGTGGGTGGGGGTGGGGGGTGAAAGCTACCATTGGATGAAAAAACCTAACACAGATTATTATATGGAGCCGTGTTCCCGGGAGACTACAAGCCAGACCTCATTCACAACTTAATGCAAGACCTCCTATTACTTGGGAGGAATTAGAATCAGGCCATCCTTTAGTTCCCTTGATAGGAATATTGGCGATTCCATCTACTATCAATCGCATAACACAATTACGGAAATGACAAGGAAAATTTATCTTGTCTTCCGGAGGCAAGATTAAAACATCGGAATATTTCGACAGAAAAATTACTCACGATTTCTAGCGAGTAATTACACTATCTTGTACGGGAGATACACAACTGGTTCTAATTACATATTATCAACATTAGGGGCCGAAGACTAGTAATTTACTTGTGAAAATGGACGTGATTTCTCAACAATTTCAATATAAAAAATGGAACTTAAAACAATCGCTAGAAGACATTCAATTAAAGAATGCCTGCCGTGGGGACAGAGATATTAGTCTACTCGGGAATACCCCGCGACTCATGACAAGGTGACAGACCCAGACAACCTATTATTAAATGTAACCAAACCCATTATATTTTGTGTCACTGGTAGGAAATTAAACTCACGCGCGCTTTGGCGGATCCGGAAACATACCGACTACTATACAGAACGACTGACGGTACAGAAACCCGTCGGTGTTTCAATTTGTTTCACTCTACTTTAAATTACAGACTCGATAAAATTGTTACTAGATTACTTTGGTTGCAAATGAAATTAATAGACACTCAATGAAAATTACATACTAACATTTTTGTTATCAATAGAGAGGGTCCCGGGAATTTTCGTCCCGGGTATTTTCGTCCAGAGAATTTTCGTACTACTATTATATAGTAGTACTATAGAATAAGTTGTGTGTGTATAAGGTGTATATGGTTTTTAGACCTTCCAGAAGACGATGTTGTTTTAGTTAATTATTAAAGATTGTTAACATGATCAATGTGTTGTATTGTTTTTATTACGCGTTTGTGAGGAGGTCTCACCAGCTCTGGTTTAACTGACCAATGAAATTTATGAGGAGATATTGAGTTGAGTTGATTTTAAGTATGGCACTCAATCGCTTCCGAACCATAATCTCGTTCATCGTGAATGATGGCAGATCAAGATTTGTGTATTGTGTGCAACCAACGAGTCCGACCTAGACAATATGGCATCACTTGCGATATATGTGATAGTTGGCTTCACCGAACCTGCCAGACTGGTAAGTTGCACTTTTTTAAGTGTGTGTATATATCATAACTTGAATATTTTTTTGAATTATTGTATTGATATTTTAATAAGTTCTTTTAATTTTTTTATATGTTAAATTATTATTGTATTCCATTAACTGTATAAATAAACTGTATAACTGTATAGTTTGAATAGGTATTATTATATATATATATTATAGTATTAGTTATATATGTTTTTCATTACTTTTATAATTAAGTAATACAACTTTCATAAAGTGATATCTTATTGTCTTATTTTATTAACTATTAACTATTGAATTAAACTGTATAATTTATTTAAATCCAGTCATACAATAAAGGTTTATTAATTTTCGTGTAACTAAAATTAAACTAGATATAATGACAGATATATGTATATCACTTTATTTGCAGATTTTTCATTAGCTGACTACAGGGCTGCGGTAAAGAACCGGACAGAGCTGCACTTTGTATGCACCACTTGTTTAGCACAAGAAGTATGCGATGAGCCCATGGATGTTGTTCCACCATCCGCCGATATACCGCCACCACCACCACCCGCCGATATACCGCCACACCACCACTACTGCCACCACCACCACCACAATCACCTGCCGATATACCGCCACCACCACCACCACCCGCCGATATACCGCCACCACCACCACTACTGCCACCACCACCACCACAATCACCTGCCGATATACCGCCACCACCACCACCACCCGCCGATATACCGCCACCACCACCTGCCGATATACCGCCACCACAATCACCTGCCGATATACCGCCACCATCACCACCTGCCGATATACCACCACCACCATCACCTGCCGATATACCGCCACCACCACCACCTGCCGATATACAGCCACCACCCCAACCAATGGACATAGATGATTCATTCAACCTGCCCGACAGGAACAGGCCAGAGGACCGAAAATCCTCTTGAGCAGTAAGTAATTGTTTCTGAGTTAATGAAAATCTTTTTTTTAATAATCCGTATGATACATCTTTCATGAATTTCAACATTATAACATTTTCGTTATTTCATTTTGTTTATATCCAGATCTTTCTATGTACATGGTTATCCAGCATCAGACAGCATCTTGATCAGCCAACTACCTACGAGGTTCTCCCTACTGGTACAACACGTGGAAAGCCCCTTCTAGTGTCGAGTCAAGGGTATACCTATACTGTGAAGGTAAGACAAAATAATAAACACAATATCAAGGTACCAAGCACCATTTTATAAAATTGGATAAGTATTAGGGATGTCTATTCGTTAAAAATTGGTAATCATTTTATTAAAAGAAACTTCCACTGGTAATATGATACAAATAACGTATAAATATTTTTTAATTTTTCATTTTTTAATTTTTTTTCAGAGAGCCAACCAGTCTTCAACAATTTGGACATGCAGCCTCCGTTCGAAGAAACTGCACTTCTACGCGTCGGTGAATCAGGTACACCAGACCTCCAACCGCGGTTTGCAGACACACGTCCATCCACCTGATGCAAAGAAGCCAGCCAAGGCCAAGATAACCATGATGGTACGTGAATGTATGTAATTTGTTTTAGTATTTGTTTCATATGTATATCTTTTCTTTCAGGCCAAAAATCGATAGTATAGTATGTTACATGCATCTTTAATTATAGTGCATAGAAGTAAGAATATCTATTTATTTTTCAGGCCAAGAACATCGCCAGAGACAACCTATTCCGGCCAGCAATGGATATAGTGGAATCGGCCATTTTGGACGAACTGGACGCAG